TTCCATAGGGAAACGTACATTGTTGGAATACTCGCCTTTTTCGTCTTGAGGTCGTACAAGACGACCCTCAATATCGTCCCCAGACGGCCCATGAGGCCCTCAAGTAAGCCCCAAGACGGGACAAGAGGGCCCTAAAACGGCCCAAACGCATCCCGAGAGGCACCGAAGAGACCTCAAGAGGAACCCAACGCTGGAAATCATACGAAGTGAGACTCCAGCCTTTCGCCCCAAGATGGGCCCCAAGAGCCCTCCGGAGGCCCCCGAGACACCCCCAAGAGGCCACCAGAGGCCCCCGAGAGCCATCCCAAAGGCCCTCACGAGACGCCCAAGAGGCCCCCAACCAGCGCCCCACAGCCCTCCGGGTGCCCCAAGCGGCCCTTTACTGCTCCTCGCCCTTCTCCCCTTCCACGTTCTTCTCCTGCCCAACGTTCTTTCCAAGCGGTCTGTCAAATCTGTCCCTGGGAGTCGGCGGAAGGGCGTATACAGTCGACCCGTACCATCAGGAATCACGATAAGGATGCAAGGGCATTCTCAGGCCGTCTCAAAGCTTCTCGAGCGGGGCGCGGCAAACGTAGGTGGCCAAGCGTGTGCCGAGGAGACGAGGATGCAGGAGTAACCTTGGCAAGGATGCCCATCCTCATGATGCGGGCTGACTGTCGGTCCATCGCACATCCATCCAATCCTCCTCCTCCTCCTCCTCCTCCTCCTCCTCCTCCTCCTCCTCCTCCTCCTCCTCCTCCTCCTCCTCCTCCTCCTCCTCCTCTCCCTCTGACCTATAAGACTCTTGAACAGATCCATCCAACAGCCACCGCCTGGCCGGGGTCCCGCAAGATCGACCCTCTGGGCGGTAGCCAAGTCTGGATACAGCCCCGACTCGCAGGGTGACTGCACATGCTGCTCGATGGTCCTCGCCGAGAACAGATGCGCACGCACGAGCTATGCCAAGAGCCTTGTCTGCTGTGGCAGCGCTGCGCGAGGTGCGAAACACGACTCTCCCCGCTCCCTCGCGCCGATCTCCTGGGGAAAGAGCATCCTCCCGGCCTCTTGACCGCGAGGCGCGAAGGACGGCCCTCTCGGTGCCCCTGGCGAAGGCCCCAGCTCACAGCTGGGCTGAGCCGCGCACCCTGCGCTGTGGCTGACCTTCCGACCGCACACCATGCGGCTGGCTTGTCGGGCGGGCACAGCATCCCCTTCTTCCTCCCCCATCACCTCGTCCCCTTCCCCTACCCCTCCTTGTCCATGCCCCATGCCGCCCCCCCCCCCGCCCACCTCTCCCCCTGCTCGTTGTCCCGCCCTTCAATGTTTCGCCCTCCCCCCAGAACGCGCCGTCTTCCTTGCTCCTTCCCTGCCTTTTCTCTCCCCCGCCCCTTTTCTCAGGCACCAAGCCGCATCTGCTTCTCACACACCCTCCAACCACGCTGCACATGCTTCCCCCGCACCCTCCGTTCTCTCTGCCCCCCGCGTCCGTTGCTCCCTCTCCCCAGCCCTGCTTTCCCCTCCCCCCTCGCACCCTGCTTACACTTCCCCCCCCTCTGGCTGGAGGAGGGTGGACGGAGGGGTGGGGGGCAGAAGGGGGTGGGGGGGTGGGAGGAGGCCGAGGGGGGCAGGGAGGGAGAGGGGAGCAGGGAGCGCCACACCAGCCAGTTCGAGCGGCCAGCCAAGAACTGCGGGAAGAGCATGCGCAAGTGCAAAGGGACGGACTGCAGCTGGACGCGCCAGCCCGATCAGAACGGCCCGCGTCAGCGCGGGCCCGCCCACCTCGAGGGCGCACAGCGCAGGCATGCGAGGCCCTCATGTTTGCAATAGGGGGTCCCCGGGCTGCCCGACCCGGGGCCCTGGGGCCAGTTTCTGTTCCTCATGCCGAGTCGTTGGTTGAACAGTCCCGGGGCTCGGCAGAGGGCCCCAAGGGGAGAAACATGCCACAGACCTCCCTGTTGTGATTTTGCCACGTCGCGAGCACGTCCGGGGTAAGCAGCCGTTGTGCCTCGTTGATTCCTCACTCCTTCTGGCTAGGCCCTCCCCCTGATCATGGCGAAAACTCGCGCTCACGGGGCTTGCGTGACTCCCAGACGTCAAGCCGTCGGATGCTTGGGAGAGTCAGGGTGAATAGCTTTCATGCTTCTGAACGTGCTACGGTCGGGACATTTTGCTCAGCGTCGCGGCGGCGGCCTGGGCGACACGCTATGCCTTACCGGCGGATGGCGTGTCACTCCGCTCCGCGGGGCGGGATAGGCGGCGCGCCCAGGGGGGAAATGAGAAGGGACGGGCCTTCTCAGAAGGTTCGGAAGTCCACTGGCCTGCCGAGAAGATTTCTGAGCCTTCCCCGAAGACGCAAAACACGTTCCAGAAGGCTGGCGGGCGTCTGAGAAGTACCGCCGCCTGCTTTTTTTTTGGGGGGGGGCGCCAGTGGGGGCTCATTAGGCTGCGGAGACTATGGGCCACAGTCCGATGAGAAGTCCCGCCGCCTGCTGAGAAAGCCTTCCCCTGCTCCTTCCCCCCCCTCGCTCGCACCGCTCGCTCCACGGGGCTCGAACGGGTGGTACTGGGGGGGGGACCTACGTTGGGGGGTGAAGAAGAGGGCCCTGAAGGCGCCATTTGGGGCATCTTTTGGAGCCATCAGGGGCCCCAAAGGAGCCCTCAATGCTTCCTTCAGCGCCCTCTTTTACGTTGCATCTTCGGGGGACCTCGCCTGTCCCCAAAATTGATGCCTGTTCTTGTGCCCGACGCGGGCGCGATGCGGACTCGACGCGGATCTGGTGTGGATTCGTCGCGGATTCGACATGGATTCAGCACAGATCCGACAAGGTCGACATCGATTCGACACGGATTCGACGCGGATAGGGCCGCGACGGGACAGACAAGGCCCCCAGAGAATGCAACACAACCTCTTCTTCAACCCCCATGTAGGCCACCCCCAAATACCACCCGCCCGAAGGGCAGGAGGCTCGGAAGGGCTCGGGGCGGTGACGCCTGGGGGCGGGGAACTGGCCAGCGACTCTCGCGCCGAAACGAGGGTGGGCCAGAACCGGCGGAGCGACGCACGAAGTACGAGAGGTCCAGAACGGAGGCCCCCCCAGGGGCAACGACAGGAGGGCAACGAGACGAGGCCTCCTCCTCCTCCTCCTCGTCCTCGTCGTCCTCCTCCTCCTCCTCGTCCTCGTCCTCGTCCTCGTCCTACTCCTCCTCCTCCTTCTCCTCCTCCTTCTCCTCCCTTTCGTCCTCGTCCTCGTCCTGAGAATAAGTACTAAGTACAGCTGCAAGTTGCCAGGGGCAACGCCAGGAGGGGACTGGCTCAGGGGGGATCATCGAGCCAGTCTCGGTGACACATCGCCGATAGATCAGCGATAAGCCCCCGATGGCGAATTTGTGCGCTTCAGGGTTGGGTGGGGCCGAATCGGCGACCGAACCAATGGGCGATCGGGGGTCGATGCATCCCCCCCTGAGCCCATCCCCTCCGAACGTATTCACTGACCCCTCCCCCCCCACCTCGGGGGCCGCCGTTCCGGACAGAGCTCTGTCCCAGGCATGGCATGATCCTGGATGCCCTGAAACTGGGCCCATGACGGCCCAAGAGGATGTCAAGATGCCGTAAAGACGGTGGAAGAGGGCCACAGGCGCAAGAGGTTTCCAAGATGACCAAATAGGTCCCACGGAGCCAATCAAGAGAGGCCCTAGGCAGCCAACGAGAAAGAGCATGAATCGTCTCAGATGGCATGTGTGCTCACAAGCTTTTCAGCCCAAAATGGCATCAGGAATGCTCCAAGGTTCTTCCCGCCTTCGTCCTGGATGCACGTGCGACGGTCCCAGGACCAAGTTGCGGACCCCTGACGCCGAAATCGAGGAAACACGCCGGGATTGAGCAACAACGATGCAGTCGGAAATCTGGGTCCCTGGCCTCCTGTCCTCCCTCCTCGCGCCAGCGAGGAGGCGAAGGAAGCGCACCGCTCCCCTTTGGCCGTGCAGCACGATCGCAGAGGCAGCACCGCGCGCACGAGGCCGAGCACTCTTCGCCGCCCCTCTCCGGGAGGAGCGGGGAGGAGCGAGGGGCGAGGAGAAGCGAGGCGCGCTCGCGCCATGTCTGACACGCTACCCCCTCCCACCCAGCCATCTCCCAGTGGGTGTCATAGCGGACCTGGAAAGCGCCAAAAGACCCCATCGCGTGATGCGCACTCCGTGAGCGAGAGGAGCCGAGGAGCAATGTCAGCGGCGTGAGAAGGAGGCACAGGAGGCGCAGAGGGATCAGGGAAAGGTGAGAGGGGAAAAGACAGGGGCAACAACAACGAGGAGGCACTCGGATCGCGGGGGGCGGGGAAGAGGCTGACAGCGCGCGCAAGTCGGGAGGTGCGGAGGGCTTCGGTTTCTGAGGAGGCGGGTGGGGCTTCTCAAAAGGAAGGGGTCTTCTTGAAGGGCCCAACAGCTTTTGAGAAACCATCTCGGCAGCCGGGAGAGCTTCCGAGAAGGCCCCCGCCTCCTCAGAAGCCCTGCTCTAGAAGGCCCTTCCCCCGCGAGTTGGCCCCCAGTGCGCGCCGCCAGAGACCCAACCCCCGCGGCCGTGATCTGTTCACAACGTGGACCCCCGAAGGCTTCGACCCATGCCCCAGGACCGGCGATTGTCATCCTGAGCCGTTGCTTTTGAAGGCCCCAGGGCCCAGCAGGGGCTCCCAAAGGTCCGAGGTAGGCCAGACAGACTTTCCGTTGTGAAGTTCTTGCGGCGTGCGGATGTCAAGGGAGGACTGGGGGGGGAAGAGCGGCCCGGTGGGCCGTGCTGTCCCTCGGCGACTCCGACTGGTGTGGTTTGCGCAGGGTGTGGGTTTGCAACCCGCGCCTTGGGGGAGGGAGGAGGGCGAGAACCACGACAAGGATCCCTGCCGCGCCCCGACAAGGGCTCGCCAAACCTTTGGCGCAACGTGGTGACCCCAAGGTGTCAACGGCGCCGATCGCAAACCACCCCCCGGCATAACCGTACCCGTTGTGATCGCCGACGACTCGTGCTTCGCTTTGTTGACCAGCGCGTGCCGTCCCTGCCTGCGTCTCTAACTTGTACTTCTGCGTACAGGAAAAGCAACGAGACCGCGGACGCCGTCTCGCGCGGCCGAACTGGGGCGTCAGGGGACACGTCCGACCTGATCCGCGGCGACGCCCGCCACAGGAAGGGTCCGGCGTTCCTGCTCCTTTTCCTCCTCTTCCTCCTCTTCTTCTTATCATTGTTATTATTGTTCTTGCTGTTATGATTACTCTTGTTCTTAGCATTCCACTTATTAGTACTACTTTCTTTTACCATTAATCATATTATTTGTGTTGTTCTTCTTCATATTTTTCTTCTTCTTCCACCCCCTCCTCCTCCTTTTTCGCCATCCTTCTCCACCTCCTCCTGTTCCTGTTCCTCCTCCTCCTCCTTTTCCTCCTGCTTTGCCTCCTCTTCCCCTGCCTCCTCCTGTTCTTCCTCTTCTTCCTCCTCCTCCTCCTCCTCCTCGTCCTCCCTTTTCTCCTCCTCCTCCTCCTCCTCCTCCTCGTCCTCCTCCTCCTCCTCTTCCTCCTCCTCCTCCTCTTCCTTTTCCGTCTCCTCCTCCTGCTCCTCCTCCTCCCCCTCCTCGCGAATATTGACACGACTCAGTGCGTGCGACGGGGCCAGAAGAGCGCGCCACATCGAACTGCGTCTCGCCCAATACATTCGCTTGCTTTTGGGCGTCGACTAGATACCCCAGTGGTGCCCACTCGGCATGCGGCGACGTGCGCACGCGGAGTACTACAGGGCAGCTTGGGAAAGGGCGAAGACACCCGCATGGGTCCGAGTAGATGGCGTCGGAGGATCGCTCCGCATCGGCGGCGCCTGGCCGACGCACCAGCGACGCGGGTGCTGCACCAGCGACGTTCGCGTGGAGAAATACCTGGATCCGTATAGAATGCACAAAATTGAGCACCGCATGGAGTGCACAACTTGTATCGCACGTCAAAAACTGCACGGCAGATGTTGGACACGACGAGTGCACAACACAGACTGCGCCACACAACCTGCGCTGCATATATTGCACCTCGTAAACTGCACCACGCAGATTGCGCCGAATGGATTGCTCCACGTAGATACACAACGTAGGCTGCACCATATGTACGGTGCCGCGCGTGTTGTGAAACATGGGTTGCACTAAACAAATTGCACAACATGGAGTGGACTACAAGTATCAAGCCACACATAGTGTTCCACCTGGGAGTGCACCACATAGAGTGCACAGCGTGGGTTGTACCACGTTGGTTGCAATGCATACATTACATTGTACCACGTATACTGCGGAGGAAGTAAAGTTCCTTTAATTGTTTAGATGCGCGTCGCGCGGGGCAGGGGGCTATGCGCGCGTGTGGTGACGCGTGCTCATGTGCTTGGCACTGTGACCATGGTGGTATAATGCTCGAGGTCAGCGGCAGCCGTCTCCATTGCGCCCATGGCGACGACGACGGCGAGTTTCGATGCCATGACGACGATCCCGAACTTGACCCTAATGGCGATGATCGCTGTCTGGAAGACCATGGCCATGACGATTGCTGCCGGCATGCTGGACATGATCGACATGACGATGATCATGATGACGATATCCCCCCCTTCCCCCCTTGGGCTCCGAGCGAGAACGAGCTCTCGTGGCGGGAAGGAAGTGGGGCGCGCCCTGGAAACTTCTGAACATGCATCACGTCCCGCGAGCTTCCAAGTCCCGGAACATCCCCAGGCGACCTCGCGCAATTCAAGGAAACCCAATTTCTCCCGATGCGCGTTCCATCCCCGCGATTTCCACGCAAAACCGATATCGCCACATTCGCCGCGCTCATCATCGGCCTCATCATGGCCGTCTTCATCAGTACGATTCAATCGTGATCACCATCTTCATTCACCGGCTTCGCCGCCACGGGCCGCTTAATACTTGCGTCGGCAACTGTCGTTGCATCAACAAGCGTCGCCATTGTAGTCCACGTCCTCAGCCTCGGCCGCTGCCATTCAGGTTCAAGTTTCGCTCACTTCAACGCGCCTGTTCCAGGTCGACCGACGTCTGCGGCCAGGAAAAAGCGCGATGGTGAACGCCATCGTCATGGCCAAGCGGGTTTTGGTCAAGCTGCTCAGAGAGATGGTTGCGCTCCACTCCATGAGTTTGAAAGTTTCCCGAGACTCCCCAAACCCAGCCGCCTGCACAGCGTACCGAAAAGTCCCCGTCAAAGCGCGCCCCGATCGCGGCGGGAATGTCGGTCACCAGCGGCAGTTGAACGACGCCTGCAAAGCGTGGGGGACGGCGGCCAAGCAGAAGAAGGAACGCGCGAGACGGAACTAGTGTCTCCGCTGAATCACTCACATGTACCGGACGAGGGGCGAGGCGGCGAAACTTGATCTGGGTGGAGATGATCCGTGCGCAGGCCAGATCCCTTTCTCGAGGGCCATGCCCTTGTGGGGGGCCGATCTCGGCCAAGGGGTTCGAGGCGATGGCGTGCCACAGGACCAAAGAAGTTGACCGCGCAGGAGTTGGTCGAGACCATGCGAGCAGGGCGCGTCAGCGCGGCCATCCAAAAGCTCAAGACCAGCCGCGGCGGCCCCTACTGCGTCATCTGTGACAACGAAAAGCTCCTGACCGCCAAAGACACTCGGCCCCTAAATCGCGACGCAACAACATCCCGCTTGAGCCGATCCTTCCGAGATCCCCAGACCTCAACCACATCGAGAAGTTCGGGGGTTGGCTGCGCACGCAGCTTCGTCTCAGGGAACCTCGCGATCTCCAATACGGCAGGCCCGCCTTGGGCAAGATGGCGCACATGTATTGCACAGCATGGATTGCACCACATAGATGGCAAAGCATATATTGCACAACATGTGGTGCACCATATACCTGGCACAACCAACATTACCCAACCCATGTCGAACCACGTAGACTGTACAACATACTGCCCCACATCAACTGCACAACGTATGTAACACAACATAGAATGCATCACGTATCTCGCACCACATGGATTGCACAACGTAGACTGCACCCCACACATTGCTTCACATACATTGCACAGCGTAGTTTGCACAACATCGATTGCACCACGTAACCTGCACCACATACGTTGCCCTATATAGTTTGCACAACGAATATGGCTGAACACACCGTTTGGGGCCTACGTTGGCTGCAATTGTTTTTCCGGCCTGCGGTACGGGCCAAGAGTCCCGATGCGGAACGCCAAGCCTGGAAGATCAGGGTGGGCCCGAATCTATCAGTCATGATGTACGCTATTTGTGGTATTGGTTTCTTTGGCCCAGGACATGGTCCCAGTATTTGCTCACAGCGCCTGCGTACACTGCATCGACTGTGAACTCGACGGCGCTTGCGTACAGCAAGACGCCTGTGCGCACAACGGTGCCTGCATACATCACAGCATAGGCGGCTACGAGCGCAGCGATACGAGCACCACTCCAATCCTTCCGATAAGTAGAACAGCAATGCGTCCCTGAGAGCACAATGCGAGAGCGCGCGTAGCGGTGTGAATGCCATGACAATGGACACTCTAACAATCCTATCATTGAAGTAGAGATGCGTTTAAAATGTGCAAACGATGTCCTGCAAATGTATCACAAATGTTGTTTACATGTTTAAAACATGTGTGAAACATCTTTTAGACATCTGGACATTATTTGGCAGCATGCTTCCTCTCCATTTAATCGACTCCCACAAGCGCAGTGCGCGCCTGTAAGCAACACAGCATGTCTGAGTGAACACCACAATGGTCTGCGAGCGCCACAGGTCACCCGTGGTCGCCATAGGACGACAAGCTTGACGTGATCTGGAGGAGCGCCGGAGATCCGTCCCGCTATCGCCCAGAACGGAAAAAAAAACTGGCTCCAGCGAGCCCGCCACGTCGGCTGGCCCGCAATTGGAGGCCGTCTCCGGTAGACTCCAGCAAGCATGCCTGCACTCATTGAGAGGGGGGGGGGGGGGCGGGTCGTGGGCGGCGAACACTTCGCTATCCGCGGCCTCGCGGGCCAGGCCCCTGGGCCGCGACCCCGAGGATGCGGGCCGTTTCTTCGCGGGTGCCCCGCGCGGAACGCATCCGTATCCGCGGGATCGCGCCCTGAAATCCCGACCCGCGAGGACGCGGATACGGGTATGCTCGCCGCACGTGAGAGGAGGGGGGGGGGGGCGAGGCCCCAAAGCCGAAAGGAGATCTGGGGCAAGTCGGGATTCGCTCGCTCACCCTCTCGGCACGGCGCTGCTTGCAAAGGCGGCGCCGAGGGGGTGATGGGGGGGGCACCCAGACATGCAATGTCTTGATTTTTCAAAACGGGGCGGCCAAAACTTTGTGGGCCCCGGAAACGGCAGGGCCGTTTTTTTACCGTTTCCAGAAAAATGTCCTTTGAAAATGGAAACGCCAAAAAAACGTCGACCAGAAACGGCACAAAAAACAGCCCCAGGATCAGAACCGCAGCCGGAACCGGTCAAAAAACGGCGACGGAACCGGTAAAACAACGGCGTCGGAACCGGCAAAAAAACGGCAGAACGGACCGAGTAAAAAACGGCCCTGTCGCTTCCAGGGCCCACTAAGGCCTATCCCTATCCCTGTGCTGGGCACCTCCTTATCACGATGCCAATCTTAGGGACTCCCTTATTTTTTGAGGGCGCATCCCTAAGATTGTCATCGCCTTTTGGCGTGTCAATCTTAGGGATAGGGATCCGTTCGAGGCTGGTCAAAAACGGGGCGCCCAGAAGTCGCGACCACCTCGGCGGGGCCAGCGTTGCATCCCCGGTCGTCGGCCGACGGTCCCAGGGCCGAGGGCGAGGGCCACCGGAGGCCGAGAAAACGGCAGTGCCGCCGCGCGTGTCTCGCGACGCGCGCCTGCCTCGGAGATGCCGTGCAAGCAGACTTGCCCGACGCTGACATCGAGCGCCCATACCCATAGAGGGGTCGGAGAGGGCTATGGGTGCGTGTTGTCGGATGGGGGCCCCCCGCTCGAACGGGAGCGTTCCCCAGTGTCCGACAAACCGCACCCATACCCATAGCCAGTCCTCCTCCCAACGACCTCCCTATGGGTATGGGTGTGTGTTGCTCGTTCGTCACTTCAGGGCTTAGCTGCCCCGCTACGCGACACGCAACACGTGGCGCATCGATACGGAGCTCAGCACGCACACCGAAAACGCAGGTCTGACGCGACACGTGCGCCGAAACGTGGGCCAACACGCTGTGCCAACACGCAGCGTGAGCACGGTACGTGTTGCGTATCAAAACGGGCGTGTCTACATGGTTTGTTAGTAAGACAGCGGATTGTAAACATATAGGAGTTTAATACATGCTTAATGTATGAATAATTGGATGCATGAACTCGTCGCTGCTTCTAATACTATACACATGATCCGCACGCGGAGCATGTATGAAAAACGGCATTGTGGGCACCTGAGCTTCAGGGGCAGCCATCGTGCCCTGCCCCCCCCCACGGCCTCCGCCCCCCCGCGCCCGGCGCGCCCAGGGCCCTCTCAAAGAAGGCCTCCCGCCTGGGTTCGGAGCGCACGGGGCCGGAGGACCGCGCCGCCTCGCCGACGCCTCGGCGCTGCCTCGGCGACTCACTGGCGATGCGGCGGCGACGTCGGCGCCGTCGGCGTAGATCGGGAGCGGCCAAGAGGGGGGTGTCCAAGAGGGGGGGGTGCAAATCATAATCTGCGGCATGTGCGCGGCCCAGCGGGGGGGCCAGGGACGTAATGAAATAAGAAGAGGCGCCATGGAATCTGGGGAGGTATCATGGCCCACGTCATGACACCCCCCCCAATCCCACCAGCCCTCTGGGCGTCGGTGGTTTAGAGCGTTTCCTCTTCCACCCCTCCTTCTTCCCCTTCGGGGAGGGGTTTACCCCTCCCCCTACCCCCTTCCCACTGACCTGGACAGGGGGGGCCGCGATCGGTCAGAGCGTCCAAGATCGACCCCTGGGAGGGCTAAAATTCGACACCCCTCACGAGGATCGCGGCTCCTGAGGTGGGGGCTGAAATTTAGGAACCCCCCTTCGTTGATCGATCTCCTCCGAGATGGCTCCGAGAGACGTCTTGGACCCCCTCTTGGGCCCTGCGCGCGGGCGGGCGGAGCGCCGGCCGCCCGCCCGCAAGGCCCAAGAGCCCACCAAAACGTTCGAAGACACTTCCAATACGCCACCAGCAAGGAGGAAGAGGCGGAGGAGGAGGAGGAGGAGGAGGAGGAGGAGGAGGAGGAGGAGGAGGAGGAGGAGGAGGAGGAGGAGAGGGAGGAGGAGGAGAGGAGGAGGAGGAGAAGGCGGAGGAGAAGGAGGAAGAGGGGCGGAGAACAGCTGCCGATCATCGGCGCTCTTCGTTCGAGTGCCTGGTGTAGGATGGGCTGGTGGGGATACGCGAAGCGTCAAGAATTCATCAACCCCCTCTTTGCCGCCCCCGAGTAGAAGAAAAACAAAAATTGCATCAGCAGAGACTTCTGGCGCTCCGCGCGGACTTCTCGGATCTGTGCTGGGCCCCCCGTCCCTGGCGCGCGGAGCGCGCCAGGGGCGGCGCTGGAGGCGCCGCTGGGGGGTGCCTCCAGCGCGGATCCAAGAACTCCGCGCGGAGCGCCAAAAGTTCATGCTCATGTTGTTTGCTCTTGCTCGAGTGGAAGAATTGGGGCCCCGCGTCGGGCCGCGTCGCCTTGGCATCGGCGGTGCGGCGCGATCCAACGACCCCCCCCCCCTGGCATCGCTCGGACGTCCATTCCCTGTGTTTTTTTCGGTTTCGTGGGTGGTTTCTTCGCGAAATGATCAAGGATGTTCCTCGATGGTCCTCGCCGAAGGAAGAATGCACACGTCCGAGCGATGCCAAGTCCCTCGCCCCGGCCCCAGCTGGGAGGCCTAGCTCTCCGCCGACGGGGTGCGCCCACCGCGGGGAGCTCGTCGTCCGCGAGGCGGGGCGCTCGCGGCGTCCGCTGCCCGCAATCAGTCCTGGAGGGAGCTGGGCCGGGCCGGGGAGACGAGGACAATAGCAATAGGGCGGTGTGGCCACAGATTTTTTGTTGCACGGTGCTAAAGATATCGTACGGCTAACATCGCCCCTCGAAATATTGAATAAAATTGCGGTGCTAAGATCTCCCCGGGGGGGTTCTTAGAGGCTTCCTCGGGTTAACCCTGGGGCGCCACACCATCCGTCGAACTCGAGAGCTGAGGGCGCCTGGGGCCTGGCGTCTGCCAGGCCTTGCAACATGCCAGCGTGCTGACCAGCGCCGCGACAGCGGGCTGGCACGGTGGGGGGGGGAGGACAGCATCGGATGAGGATGCGGCCCGCGGCCCGGGTCAGTCCTGGAGGAAAGGGGCAGGGCCTGCGAGACGGACAAATTCGGATCCGGATACGTCGGCCTCCACCTTCTCATCCTCCTACTCTTCCTCCTCGTCATCATCATCAGCATCATCACCATCATCATGAGCATTATCATGATTATCATCAGCCGCAGCATCAGCATCAGCATCAGCATAAGCATCAGCAACATCGTCGTCGTCGCCATCATCATCATCATCATCATCATCATCATCATCATCATCATCATCATCATAATCATCATCATCCTCATCATCCTCATCATCATCCTCATCATCAGCATCACGAGCCTCCTCATCATCAGCATCAGCATAATCATCATCATCAGCATCATCATAATCACAATCATTACCATTGTCAGCAGCATCACAATGATCAGCATCAGCATGATAAGCATGATCCTCATCATAATCATCAGTTGAATCGTCACCATCACTATCATCATCAGCATCATTCACATCAGCATCAGCATCAAAAACAACATCAGCATCAGCATCAGCATCAGCAGCATCATCATCAGCATCATCATCATCAGCATCAACACCACTATCACTATCACAATGACCATCCGATTCAACACAATCATTCAGACAATCTTGACCACCATCATCATCACCAGGATCACAATCAGCAGCAAACTGATTAGTAACATTACTATCATGCTCAAAGAACCATCACCATCACCAGCAGCATCGTCACCACCATCATCCCCATCATCAGTTTCATCATCATCATCATCACCATCATCATCATCATCATCATCATGATTATCATCATCGTCGTCATCATCGTCACATCATCATCTTCGCCATCGACGTCGTCATCGCCATCATCGCCATCATCATCATCATCAGCAGCAGCAGCAGCAGCACCATCACCATCATCATCACCACCATCATCATCAGCAGCATCATCAGCATCATCATCAGCATCATCACCATCACCATCACCATCATACGGCTGCCCCAAGCCTGGAGAGGCACGAGTTGTCCCCTCGAGCAGTCGCCACTCCAGACTGCGGGGCTGGCACGGTGGCGGGACTCGCCGCGGGCAACTGGACGGCGTCGGGGAGATCCCGGACACGGCGGATGCCTGGCGGATGCGGGCGCCTCGGCCGCTCCAGCGCGCTCCGAGAGGGCTTCAGCGGACGCCCTGGAGCGACGTGCCACATCCCCTCGTCCTGGGCTTGCCTGGCAGGGCCGGTCCGCATCGCAGCGGGGAGTCGCCCCCCCGGTCGGGGTGTGTGGCGGATCGCGCTGCCCGTGCGCGGACGTCGGAATCGGAGCGGGTGGGCCGCGCCAAGACCGCAGCCAGGGAAATCAAAAAGGTACTGGCACCGCGTTTCTCAAGTCGGGCCTGTCCCCCTACAGGGGGATTTTCGACGAAAAATAAAAGATACCCCAAAAATAATCAACAAAAAAATCCACTGGGGACTATTTTTTCAATATTGTTTTACCTTTTTGGGGTGTTTTTTGTGTATTTTTTTTATTTTTTGGCGAAAATCCCCCTGTAGGGGGACACGCCCGACTTACCGCTACTCCCCAGACCTCTCCAGAGGGGCGTTATGGCCAGGATCTCGAGGCGAATCCAGCGGTGGTGACGCGGGCCTGGCAGGAGGCCCAAAACGGGGAAAACGAGGCAGGGGTGGCGGTATGGGTACCTTTTCCTCCTCTGGGCGCCAGGATGCGCAACAACGCCATGCAAACGTCTGGCCGCAGCAGGTCGTCGGAATGTCGGAACAGACGCGGATCAGACCAGCCCGAGCCGACATCTACAGTGGTGGCCGGTCCACAAGACACCTCCCACAAGAAACCCTCTCTGTGACCCCGGAGCATCCATTGCTGCTTGGCGTGGGAACGTCGCGCGCGATCTGGTGCGGTACCTTTCGTGTTAGGTCGGGCATGTCCTCCTACAGGCGGGCTTTTGGAAGACAGATCCGCCGACCCTGTCGGCGTGTGACAGGGGCTGTCGCGTCGCCGCCGCAATCACGTCCCCTCCTTTCCCTGAGTCCGTCGCCGCTCCCTTCCTTTCCTTGGGCCCTCGTCCTCGAGCACGCCAGCCGAGGCGAAATGCACCGGCCCATCCGCAGAGGCATTCAGCCACTTTGTCATGGAGTCGACGGGGAGCCCCCTCCTGTTCTTCCCTGCCGCGCGGAGGGGGGGGTCCCGGGGGATGGTCCCGGGGGGGGGGGGCCCAGAGGGTCGTTCTGGGGGCTGGTCCCGGGTCAGAATGCCACCCTCCTGGGGCGTGTCAGGAGCGACCCTCTCCCTCCCATTCGGGTCGGGGGCCGAGGCCTCCGGGGCCGGCGGCGCCAGACGGGAGGCCTGAGGAATTGCAAGAATAGGCAACCAAGAATCATCAGGACCCAAGGGAAAAACACGACAAACCGTCACCAGACCAGTTGTTTACTATTCTTGAGTTAGGGGGAAACAAACCGACCTCGCTTTTGACCACCCTCGCTTCCAGGAGACACCAAGCGATGCCAAACTGCGGCCTGTACTGGTCAGGCCGCTTGACGAGGAGGCGCGTGGCATGACTTGGCTTAGCCTGGAAGCGAAAGCGGGGTAGGTAATTCACGCTCTGATGAGTGCCCCTCCTGCAGAGGGACATGCCCAACTTAACTTTGGACGCCCGATATTTGTACGGAAAGAATGGGCACAATGCCCAACAGCAAATGTTGCCCCAACCCAACAGCGGCCGCTGTTGGGCAGGCGGCCTTCTGTCTCAAATGAACACAGGCCGCGGCGGCGTGGACAGCGAATCCTGTTCAAAATGAACAGGGACTGCTGTTGGCCATTGTACCCATTCTTTCCGTGCCCATGTCGGGCGTCCACATTAACTTAGGGTGGCATGCAAGCCCGCTCCGCCGCGCGTGCGCACCCCGGGCGCAGGGGCCGCGCTCCGCGGCCTCTCGCCGCGCAGCCCCCCGCCTCGCACCCCGCTGCCCGGCCGCCCGCCGCGCCCCCGCCGCGCACGGCGACCCGCTGACGGGATGGTCACCGCTAAGTGTTCAGTTTGGCGTCCAGGCCAGCATTGCGAGTTTTCGATTGGGCAATGCAGAACTCTTCGCCGCGCGCGCGCTGCTATCGCGCGCGCGGGTGCGCATGGTCACCCGCCCTCGCGCGCGCTTGGCGTGGTGGCGCGGGAGATGGGGGGGGAAGGTGGGGGTGTGTCGGCCATGGCAGAACACAGAACCACCTGGCCAGTGTCCCCCACCGCACGGCCGGCGCCGCCGCGCCCACGCCGTCCTCAGTCATCGCATCGGCGTCGGGCGCCTGGGCAGCCGGGCTGCTGCAAGGCCCTCGGCCGCTGCCTCGCGGCAGCCAGCGCCGCCGCGGCGCCGCACCGCGCTGTCCGCTGGAGGCCCCCCGCTGCGCGGACAAGCCGCGCGACGAGTCGCCAAAGGCGGCCGCAGGCCCAGCGGGGGCGCTCACAGCGCTCACAGCCCAGAGCGCGCCGCGCGTGGCCTCCAGAGCCGAGGAGCTGCCCCTCGTCGAGCCGGGCGCCAGCGCGGCGGCGGCGGGGCCCACGACGCACGAGCTTGAGCCAAGACTGTGCTCAGGAGGGGAGGGGCAGAGGGAGGGCGAGGAGGAGGAAAAGGGCGAGGAGGAGGAGGAGGGCGAGCAGGAGGAAGAGGAGAGCGAGAAAGAAGAGAAAGGAGAGAAGGAGGGCGAGCAGAAGGAGGGCAAGGAGGGAGAGGAGGAAGGAACAGGGAGGAGGAGGAGGAGGAGGAAGAGGAGGAGGAGGACGAGGAGGACGAGGAGGGCGACGGCGGCAGCGATGACCCCAGGAAAGGCCAAGGCCAGCGGGGAGCATCCTCCTCGCCCTCCTCGCCCTTTCTGCGCCCCCCCTCCCCTCCTCGCCGTCGTCGCCGTGTGCGTCGCTATTGCCCTCCTTCCCCTCCTTGCCCTGCTTGCCCTCCTCTTCCTCCTCCCCCTCCCCCTCCTAGTCCTGTCCGTCGACGTCGCCTTCGTTAGTCGTCGTCGCAGCGGCCGTCGCCGTCGTCCTGTTTGCTCTCCACGCCGCCCTCCTTGACGTGAACCTCCTCCTCCTCCTCCTCCTCCTCCTCCTCCTCCTCCTCTCCTCCTAGCGCTCGTCGTCGCCAGTGTTCGTCGTAGTCTCGTCGCCGACGCAGGAGGTCGGGCCCTCCTCGTCGGAATCTGGCGGGGAGCTTGGCCGAGCCTTGCCGGAGACGGTGTCCAGCAGTTCCCAGGCGCCGTCCTCTGCTGACAAATGTTGCTGCTTCCCATTATCTTCCTCCTCCTCCTTTTCCTTCTCGTCCTCCTTCTCCTCGTGCTCCTCCGCATCGTCATCCTGGCCATCCACTTCCAATTCCTCCTCACGTCTGCCCTCCAGCCTGCAAGTCCTCCACTTCCTCCTCCCCCTCCCCCTTCTCCCACGCCTTTCCATGCCTCCTTCCCCATTCCTTTCCTTACAGGTAGCTCCTCCTTATCGCACCCCGACGCCGGTCGAAAGGACGGGCCAGGTGTCTCGCTCGAGATCCCCTCACATCTTATGACCCTGATGCTAAACAGTGACAGCAGCTTCACAGATGGAGGGCGTGTCGGTTTCAACATGTGACTCTCGCATTAGCGACGCGCACAAACGCTTGAAGCGTTTGCAAACAAAACCTTCACGGATTGAGGGCTGGTGGCTTTCAAAATGCGGCTTTCGCCTTAACCCCGCGTACATCCTTTTGAAAACGTTGCAAGTGTTTCACGGGTTGAAGGCGGGTAGTTTTCAAAACGTGGCTCCCGCCTTGGCGCCGCGCACATTCGATTTAGATGCTTGCAGTATCTTCACGGATTGAGGGCGGTTCGTTTTCAACATGTGGCTCTCGCCGTGACCCTGCGCACACCCGTATTACCAATCGGCAAAAAATGGATTGAGGCGGATGATCTTCAAACTGTGGCTCTCGCCTTAGCGTGGCGCACACTATTTGTGAACAGTTCCAAGAGCTTCACGTATTGAGGGCGGCTGCTTTCCAACATGTAGCGCTCGCCTCAGCGCCGCGGACATTCGTTTTAAACAGTTGCGAGAGTTCCATTGCTCCGCATGGTTAACAAACAGAAAATAATGTGCTGGCACGATTCAGGGGTGCAAGGGCGCAACAGTTTATATTGATTCGCTGTGTTGAAGTCCCAGGAATGGTGTTCTGATAAGACTCTGGGTCGCCAAGACGAAACAATCAGGTTGGCCCGTGGCGTTGAAATCCTGAGACTGGTGTTTTTGCACGGTACGCTGCACGATGTTCACACGGTTGTCCCCCATCGGGGCAATTCCACTAAAAAAACTACCCCTCGTAGAGCCCTGTGAAAAAATGTATTTCAACATCGTTGATGAGTCTTGGGTTAACACTGGTCCTCATCCTTCGACTCCTCATACTCCTTCTCCTCCTGCTCACCCGACCTCTACCACATCAGCCCCAGAGCTTTCCCCCCTTCCGCTTACTCCTCCCCATCCTTCTCCTCCTCCTTCTCCTCCTCCTCCTCCTCCTCCTCCTCCTCCTCCTCCCCCATCTTCTCCTCACCACCCCTCATCTGCCTTCCCTCCCACTCCAAACCCCACTCCTCCACGTCCCTCTCCCCTTCGTGCTTCGAAGAATTTCGAATCGAGAAGTTGTTATTATAAAGCACGCTACTATGCTCTGGGGACCAAGCGTTGACGTGGTTGCTGACGCTCCACACGTCATCTCTCTCCTTTTCTGCTCATCCAACGATGTCAATGATGCTGTCGCAACTGACGCGTCGTCGTCCTCCCGTCATGAGCACACTCGCGTTCCTGTTACATTATTTCTCTTTCCCTTCGGTTAATTTAATCGCGGACTTGTCGAGATGGACTTATTAAACGTCGTTCTGCACCTGCTCCCCATCGTTATGCGTATCCTGCTCATGTCGAACCATATTCTCCGCGCTGCGGGCCACGGGTCTTCGCACGCTCGCTCGGTCATTTATTGGCTCTCACTTCATCTTCGTGGGCGCCGGGACCTCCGCACCGCCACGGACCTCTCCAAACTACTCTCGTCTCCCTCGCGGGATCGAAGGCCGAGGCTCGAAACAACCAAATAATGCAGCGCAAACAAAACTACGATGAAACACAACTGCAGAGCAATACGGATGCAATGCGTATATAACTGCATTTTAATCGTTTCACAAGCACCGTGGCCTCCATAGCCGCCCCAAACCTCTTAAAATTGCTCTCGCCGTCTGATTCGCGGAATCCGAACATAAAGCTAGACCGACAAATACGTAGCAACACACACACACAACTCCAATGCACAAAAGATTGCAGTGTGATCGGGTCGAAGGCGCTGTGGGCCCACACCTTCTCCAAACTTCTACAAACTATCATCGTCCTTTTTCCGTGGGAGCCAACGCGGAAACTATAACGACAAAGCTGCAGCGCAAACGCTTGTGGTTTGGACCACTTCAGGCATTTAACTGTTCTTTTGACTTTTCGACAAGGTCACCACCTCCAAAAGGTATTCCGTGACAGTTTCATTGTGCCGTTGCACAGCTATTGCCCCAAGGAGAAGAAGGAACAACAAATGCAACGATACAGTGCAACGATACAAAGCTGCCTGTTCGTCAGGGCCGAATGCGCCGTGAGCGTGACACACCCCTGGGCCTCTTCAAACCTCTTCAAACCTCTCTCGTCCCGCTTGCGGATCCCAAAGCTGAAGCTATACCTCAAAAAGCGGCAGCGCAACATAAGTTACAATGCGAAGCGCCTGCAACGCTCAGCAACGGAAGCAATGCACAATAATATGCGTTCCTGTCGGGTCCAAAGCGCCGTGGCCTCGCTACCTTCCCTGAACCTCTCAAAACCGCTATCGTTTCAGCCGCGGGACCAAAACAGGAATCTGAAACAACAGCTCTCTGGACCTCTCCAAATCTCACACGCCCCGCTTGGAGATTTCCATCCAAACTGCCACGTCAAAGACTGCGGTTTTGAAACGTGGCGTCCCGCCGTGCGCTCCCACGCCACGTTTTCCCCGTTATCAGGTTCCTGCCCTTCGTCTTATTATTTCAAGTCTTGACCAGCGCCGACAAACCCCGTATCATCACCAACATCTTCCTTGTTCGCGTTCTCTTCTTCTTGCTCTTATTCCTCCTGCTCCTCCTCCTCCTCCTCCTCCTCCTCCTCCCCTCACGGTGCGCACCTGTTGTTACCTCCAGTTGTCTTCACTCCTCTCAGGTCCTTTCGGTTCATCCTCCTTTACTTCATGCATGCTTCCACTCGTTGTCCACCCCTTTGCCCCGAGGCGCCGCCCCCTTCTGAGTGTCCAACAGAGGAGGAGGTCAATGCGAAGGCAAGCGTGCGGAATGCGGAGAGGGGAGGGGGAAGAGCGAACGGAAAAGAGACGGGGGGATGAAAAGGCCCGGGGGGGAGGGCAGGAACGCGGAGGATGACGGGGACTGCGGCGAGTGGAAGCATGGGGCAGAACGCAGAAGCGAAGAGAAGGGGGGTGATGAATATACTGCGGAACGCGCATGAAATTCGCATGGTCGGTAAGAGCATGAGACGCGGCGACCGTGGCATGATGCGCGAAGACCGCATCGCCAAACTCTAAGGGCACATCTGGCTGGCGAGAAAGAGCTCGATGCCATGAGTTCTTGCATAGCGCACAAGAGGCCTGGCCACTCCCCCAGGTCGGCGCCAACTCGAGACCAGAATTCGGGGCTGAGGCGCCAAATCCAGACTTCACAGAGGTCACGCGAGTCGCTTGGACAGTGCAGTGTCACCCTCCCTCCCTCCTCCTCACCCTCCTCCTACTACTCCTCATGCTCCTTCTCCTCCTCCTCCTCCTTCTCCTCCTCCCTACCCCCCTGGGTATCCACCCTCCTCCCCTCGCTCTCCTCCACGTCCTCCCCGCCCCCCCTCCCTTCCCTTCCTCCTCCTCCTCGCCGTCCTCGGCGGCGGGGCAGTCGTGCTCGTCGTCCCCAAACACTCGACGCCGTGGTTCTTCGCGGCGTGGCTCCCCGGAGGGCTCGAACCCTCCCTGAGGATCGCCTTCCCATCCCGAGCAGCGGCCCCCTGGGGGCGCAACGATACACTGCGAATGCGAGCTAGGAATGGCAGACTGTTGCCGTAGGATTGCCAAGCCAGCATCCCCAACCGCCGCACATGCACGTGTGATACATTCATAGCATCGGCAACGCGACGAAAGCAACGTCCGACCACACTCGGAGGCGCGACCAAGAACAATAGTAGTGGAGCTGGTACGCCAGCCGCACCGCGTGTGCTTTGATTGCTTATTCCAATCGTGGCTGGTCTCAGCCTCTGCTGCCGTACTCAAATTACAGCTCGCAAACCTGACCCGTGCCCGCGAGTTCCTAATACATGGCAGCTCTGACCCACAGCCTGCTGCCGTGTGGGCTACTCGCCTCGCCGAGTGGAAACAGCAAAGTAATGCCCTTTCGCTCCGCCAGCTGCCGCACCGCCCTCTGTGCTCCCGAACGCAGCGGAGACGGCCAGCCGAGCTGACGGCATGAACAAAGAGGCGGCGAAATGGGAACGGAATGTTGTTTCCCACTGACCACACAGCTGGGCTGCGCGCCCGACCGCACGGTTCGTAGGCTCCCTCGGGAGCCCACCCGCTCAGTCCCCGACATACTCGGCGTCCAAAAGGTTCACCGCCACGTCCTTCGACTTGCCCTTGGCCGTGCCTCCGAACATGGAACGACAAAGCAGGTCCACTCAAACCGCCAGGCCCTCCAGCCTCCTCGGGCACTAGGGCGGCGGCGGAGGCCGTGCCACGGGGCATCCCTGAACATTGGTGCACAAAACACACGGGCGCCGTTGGCGAGGACGCCACTTGCAAGCGATGCCGCCGTCTCCACGCGGGCGGCAGTCACGACACCGGGACGCGGAGGACAGACAGGGGGAGGCCGGTGCTGCCGCCGTGCCGCACGGTTCCGCGCGCTTCCGCCCAAGCTGACAGAGACACGCCGTCCTGAGCAGCCTCGCCGAAGCAGATGGGGCACGCGGCCCCAGGCTGGTGGCATCTCCGAAGTCCGGCGCCCTGAACTCGGAAGAGGGCCCTGCGAGTGGTCTGGTGAGGAGACGAATGTCTCATCGGGAAACCTCCTGAGGGCCAATATCGGGATCTCGGAGGATGGTGTACTTGACGTGGTTCTTCTCGAGCTCAACTACGCGCTGCGCCCTGCAGAGCCATACGGGGACACAATTGAATGCCCATCGGTATCGACAATTGTTGAACACGACTTGCGAGGAGGAGGAGGAGGAGGAGGAGGAGGAAGAGAAGGAGGAGGAGGAGGAGGAGGACGAGGAGAGCTCCGGACAGGGAAGAGGAGAAAGAGGAGGAGGAGGATGATGATGATGGGGAGGAGGAGGAGGATGCGGAAGAGGGAGGAGAAGGGAGGAGGAGCAGGAGGAGGAGGAGGAGGAGGGGATAGGGAGGAGGAGGAGGAGGAGGAGGAGGAGGAGGAGGACGAGGAGGGGATAGGGAGGAGGAGGAGGAGGAGGCGACGACGACGGTCCTCGCGCTGGCGCTTCTGGAAGCGCTTGGGGCCCTTCGCCGCGGCCTTCGCCTTCGGCGCAGCGGTGCCTCTGGCGGGCCTCGCCGTCGGCGCGGCGGCGCCTCGGTCGCCCTCTCGTCTGACGGGGCTGCGCGGCCCGAGGGGTGGCGCCCAGCGAGCCCTGGCGAGAGCAAGCTGGAGAGAGAGGAGTGGGGGGAGGAGGACGAGGGAGGAGGAGGACGAGGGAGGAGGGAGGAGGAGGAGGAGGAGGAGGAGGAGGAGGAGGACGAGGAGGAGGAGGAGGAGGAGGAGGGAGGAGGAGGAGGAGGAGGAGGAGGAGGAGGAGGAGGAGGAGGAGGAGGGAGGACGAGGAGGAGGAGGAGGAGGAGGAGGAGGAGGGGAGGATGGGCCAGGATGGGGGAAGGTTGGGGGAATGATGGGGGGGAATGGCTCTGGCTCTCTCCGGGAGCGCCGACCGCCCGAGGGTGGCCGACTCATGGGCCCCCCGCGGCGCTCCGCCCGGGGAATCCGCCGCGCCAAGGGCCGCGGCCGCGCCGGCGGCGATCGGGCGGCGAAAGAACTGCACGCACGCACACATACAGCAGGCCCGTATCAGAAGGTTTGTATTTTCTCATCAGGGAGCAAAGAGGGCCGTTTAGCGATGTTTGAACTTGCCTGCCAGTGGGAAGGAATCTTCACGCTCAGCTATACTCGCAATCGCCTCGCTGTCGCGCCCCAGAGCGTGATCCCTGAAACGGGAAAAATGACTCACTGCATGGAGCTCCCCATATGTGCATATTATGTTTATGTCATGCCGTAGTAAGCGTCTGTTTATGAGCGTCCTACCCCCTGGCGACTCCCCTTAGGGGTGCTGAAACCAGCGCCCCGCCTGAGACATCCTCACAATCTGCTCTGAAAGCAAAGGATGTTGGGCATGAAAACGAGCAAACCGCCTGAGACATCCCTACAGACTTGCCCAAACGGGCACGTATAAACACCCCTGGCGGCTCCCATTAGGGGTGCTGAAACCAGCGCCCCGCCTGAGCTATCCTCACAATCTGCTCTGAAAGCAAAGGATGTTGGGCATGAAAACGAGCAAACCGCCTGAGACATCCCCACAAAATGGCCGCGAACGGGCCCGTGAAAACACCCCTGGCGGCTCCCCTAAGGGGTGCTGAAACCAGCGCCCTGCCTGAGACATCCTCACAATCTGCTCTGAAAGCAAAATATGTCGGGCATGAAAAAAAACAAACCGCCTGACACACCCCGACAAAATGGCCGCGAACGGGCCCGTGAAAACACCCCTGGCGGCTCCCCTAGGGGGTGCTGAAAACCGCGCCCCGCCTGAGACATCCTCAGAACCTCTTATGAACAACCAAATATCTTGAGCATGAAAATGAGCAAACCGCTTAAAACATCTTACAAAATTGCCGCGAGCGGGCCCGTGCAAACACTCCTGGCGGCTCCCTTTAGGTGTACTGAAACCAGCGCCCCGCCTGAGACATCCTCACAACCTGGTCTGAAAGCAGAAGATGTTGAGCAACAAAACAGTCAAACCGCTTGAGACATCCCCACAAAATGGCCGCGAACGGGCCCGTGAAAACACCCCTGGCGCGTCCCCTAAGGGGTGCTGAAACCAGCGCCCCGCCTAATACATCCTCACAATCTGCTCTCCAAGCGAAAAATGGTGGGCATGAGAACGAGCTGGCCGCTTGAGACATCTCACAAAATGGCCGCGAACGGGCCCGTGCAAACACCCCTGGCGGCTCCCCTTAGGGATGCTGAAACCAACGCCCCGCCTGAGACATCGTCCGAATCTGTTGTGTGTTGAGTAAGTCAGGAAGGCCTGAATATGCGCAGGTCTGAGTATGAGTAAGTATGTCTATGAGTACGTCTGGGTATGCGAAAATCAGAATATGAATAAGTTTGTGTATGGCAAAGTCTGTGTGTGAGTAAGTCTGGGTATGAGTAAGTCTGAGTATGAGTGAATCCGAATAGGAGGAGACGAGAAGAGGAGGGAACGAGAAGAGGAAGGATAAGGAGGAGTAGGAGGCGTCCAAGTAAAAGCACGAGACCCCTCTTAGGATAGCGAGATTGAGTATGAGTAAGTCTGAATATGACCTGGTCTGAATATAAATGAACCTGATCGTGAGAAAGTCTGAGTATGAGTAAGTCTGAGTATGACTAGGTCTGAGTATGAATGAGTCGGAGTAAGATTAGGTCTGTGCGTGAGTAAGTTTGATGAGGAAGAAAGGAAGGAGGAGGAGGGAGGAGAGGAGGGGTTCTGGTTCTGGTTGGAGTCGGCGCCGTCCAAGTAATAACAAGGACCCCACCTTAGGCTATGGGGAAAACCCCGCCCCCCGACGGACCGAGAACGGGATTTCTGCGGTCACACCCTCAATCAGGGCGCTGCCTGAAACCGCCGTATCATACGCATGCGCGGTAAGGACGCAAAGGGCTTTGGACGCCCATGTCGGAGCTTCCCGGCCGCCCGACGAAAGTGGCCACGGATGGACCGACGAGGCAATGATGCAAAGGCACCCGTTGGGAAGCTTGGCCATCCTTAACACGTGGGTGGACTGTAAACTTTCGGAAGTCTGCGCGGGTTTCTTGGGCCGGCCAGGGGCAAGGCCAGAGGTGCCGCCAGGGGAGTGAGTCGGGCGCAGGTCGAACAAATCCGCGCGGTCCTTCTGAACATTGCGCTCATTCGCTTGATCCTCTGCGAGGCAGGTGCTGTGTCCAACGTCGAGCTCTCGGTGGCTCGCTGGCTTATGCCTCGTCTGAATGTCGAGTCCTGCCGAATAACCCCCCCTGCGCATCCCTCCTCCTCCTCCTCCTCCTCCTCTTCCTCCTCATCATCATCGGAATCGTCATCATCCTCGTCCTCATCCTCATCCTCATCCACCTCCCTCTCCCGAGATCTCTTCGTCATCCTCCTCCTCCTCTTCCTCCTCCTCCTTCTCCTCCACCTCCCGCTCCACCTCCTCCTCCTCCTCCTCCTCCTCCTCTTCCCCCGCCTCCTCGCAAGATTTGTTCTTCCTCCTCATCCTCATCATCCTCCCTCCCTCCCTCCCTCCCTCCTTCGATGCCTCCCTTCTTCCCTCCCTCGCTCCTCCTCCCTCCTCTTCCCTCATCTTCCCTCATCCCACCTCCTTTCGGAGAGCACCAAGTTGACACCTACACCGATCCTGGCCAGGCCGATCATTGGTGCAGGATCGGTGTATACGCCCTCCAGCCTCGACCAGAAGGGCGTACATACATCAAGTCTGGACCCAGGAGTGGCCAGATCTGGTGTAGGTGTACACTTGGCGCCTTCCTATTCTCCTCCCTCCACCCCTCCCTCCCTTCCTCCTCCCTCCTCCCTCCCGACACGAGCCTGCCAGAAGACCCGAGTGGCCTCAGAACCCCCCCAGACCCCCCGGCGGCTGCCGTGCCGCCCATCGGGCCGCGCTGATAATTCTGTCGTGGTCCACCAGCGCGAAGACCTTCGGAGGGGGGGGCGGGGGCGAGGCGGAGGAGGGCAAGATCGGCAGGATCAGTCTCGTCCTCGTGTTTGCACTCGTCCTCCTCCTCCTCCTCCTCCTCCTCCTCCTCCTCCTCCTCCTCCTCTCCTCCTCCTCCTCCTCCTCCTCCTCCTCCTCCTCCTCCTCCTCCTCACTCCTCCTCCTCCTCCTCCTCCTCCTCCTCCTCCTCCTCCTCCTCCTCCTCCTCCTCCTACTCCTCCTCTCCTCCTCCTCCTCCTCCTCCTCCTCCCTCCTCCTCCTCCTCCCCCTCCCCCTCACCCTCCCCCTCCTCCTCCTCCTCCTCCTCCTCCTCCTCCTCCTCCTCCTCCTCCTCCTCCTCCTCCGTTTCTTCCCGATCCTGTGGGAGCCCCAAGATGGGGGGCCCAGGGCATTTATAGCGGCCTCGGCCCTCCTCCCGCGCTCCCTCCCTCCCTCGCCTGCGGCGGGATCGGTCCGCACCGCCCCAAGTAATTAAGCCGCCGAACAGGGCCCCCCGCAGGCCCGAGAGGACCTGACGAGGGGGAGCACGACTAGAAGGGCCACTTGCGAACCCCACCCCTACCCCCCACGATTTCTGAGGGGGAGGCTGGGGCTTAGTGGGCCCTGGAAACGACAGGGCCGTTTTTTCACCGGTTCCGTTTTGCCGTTTTGTTGCTGGTTCCGACGCCGTTTTTTTACCGGTTCCGTCGCCGTTTTTTGACCGGTTCTGGCTCCGGTTCCTATCCAGGAGCCGTTTTTTGGCCGTTTCCGGTCGCCGTTTTTTTCCCGCTTCCATTTTCAAAATATATTTTTGTGGAAACGGTGAAAAAACGGCCCTGCCGTTTCCGGGGCCCACAAAGGGCTGGGGCTCACTTAATTCAGAAGCTCCCGAGCGAAGTGAACCCCAGCCTCCCCCTCAGAAATCGTGGGGGGTAGGGGCAGGGTTCGCAAGTGGCCCCCCAGCGACCTGACACTTCGGGCATCCGCCCCGAGTGGACCCCCGCAGCAAGATCGGTCAGCAGCGCCCTGGGAAGCCGCACCGGATCGCAGCGCGCGTCGGGCTCGGATCGGATCGGCCGCACCACGAGGCACGACCACGCCGGGCAAACTCTGGGGTCGCATCGGATCTGTCGAGGCCTCGGCATCGAGTCTCATCGAGCGGCCTCCAAAACCGACGTCAACTCAGATCGACTGGCTCGAGGCGGGCCGTGGGCGGGAGGGCGAGGGGGGAAAAGGAGACGCGACGCATGAGGGGGATGGCCAGTGGCAAGGTACGCAGCTGACGCGCGCAGACACCGGGGCCGCATCAGACCGTCGAAGTCTCGGCAACAAGTCGCATCCAACGGGCCCCGAACATCGACGTCGACGTGGATCGACAGGCTCGACGTGGGCCGCGGGTGGTGGGGCGGGGGGGCGCAGGCGAGGCAACGAAGGAGGGGGGGCCACTCTCGAATGGATGGCAGGTCTGGGCGTCAAATCGTATCGAGCGGGCCCCGAATCGACGCCGACGCGGACCGGCTGGCTCGAAGAAGGTGGGCCGCGGGAGGGTGGGCGGGTGGGCGCAAGGGAGAATCGGAGGAGGAGGAGGATTGCCAGTCTCTCGCATGGAGTGCGTAGCTGGAGCGGCAGTGCGGCAGCAGCCTCTAGATGTTTGGAGTCCCGAAACGGTGCGGTGACAGACCGTGCGGTGACCTCGAAATCCCCCAAGACCTCACCTTTACGGTCCGTCAACGCACGGTTTTGGGACCTCGGAGGCCCCAGTCGCCCAACACGTCCTCGGAAAACGACCCGAGTCCAAAAACCGTGCGGTGACCCCGAATCCCCACCGACTCGCCAGACGGTGTGGTCACCACCCCGTTTGGGGGCCCCCGAGGAGAAGAGATCGCGGGCAAGCCCGGTGGGGGGGGGGCGGGCCTTCGCAGAGGTGGTGGCCCAGAAATCGCAGAGGTGGTGGTGGTGGCCTTCGCAGAGGTGGTGGCTCCAGGGGAGCTCAAGAGAAGGCCCAAGACAACACAAAGAGTCCATGAAATAGAGAACAGGAGTGCCTTGAGAGTCGTCGCAAGAGCTTCCGCAGATGGCCCAAAAGCGCCTCAAGAAAGCGTCCGATGGGCCTCCCCAGTGCCGAAGAGCTCCCTGAAGGGCCCCAAGTGAAGGATCTAGAAGGCCACCAGAAACACCCTGAAAAGGCGTCTGAAGAAGGCCGAAGAGAACCCCGGAAAAGGCTCCAAAGGGGCGTCAAAATGGCGCCAAGATGTGCTCCAAGAAGGCTTGATGAGGTATCCAGAAGAGCGTCAAGACGGCTCAAAGAAACTCCGCGGAGGCCCCCCGACACTCGAGCGAAGCCCACGTGGCGGCGCAGCGTGGCTTCCACAGGGGCGCTGGAGCGCTTCAGCATGGCCCCGGCATCATCGCGTCACAGGGCCAAGCCAAGGCCCGAGGGAGCTTCAAGAAGGCGCAGAGAGGGCTGCCAATGGCGTCCCGAGAGGGCTCCGGGAGGTGCTCGGAGAAGGCCGCACGAGGCGGTGCGACGAGGCCACAGGGGAACTGCCACGCGCGGCCTGAGCAAAGCCTCGAGAGAGGCCCGGAGAGGTCGGGTTCGGTCGCGTCTGGCGGAGGCACTTCCACGGGCGGGGCTCTCTGTCCAGCTGGGGGTCTCGGAACTGCCAGTGTGCTGTCTTGGGGGCGTCTCGGACTGCCAACGTACTTCCAGTGTACTGTCTTGGGGGTCTCGGACTGCCAGTGTACTGTCTTGGGGGTCTCGGTACTGCCAGTGTACTGGGGGTCTGCTGTGAGCGTCCAGGACGTCTCTGGGACGGTGGGGGAGGGGTATGTTGGAACCCGTCTTCCTCGAGCTGCTCCCCCGAACCGTTGCTAGACCCGTATCGGGGCCTACGTCCGTCGCTGCCGTCGTCGTCGTCCAGGCCCCGGGGCTCTGAGGCCTGTTCACGTATTATATGTATAACCGGTATATTGCCGTCAACCCGCGCGCAGGTCATCATGATAAGCTTGCCTCTGCAATCGACAAGACGCGTGCACTTGTATCACTCTGAGCCGCTACCCGAAGAACGGAAACGCGGCGAACACACGCCTCCGAAGGCATCGATGCCTCGGTGTGATCATCCTCTCCGAGCAACCCTCCGACGGCAAACCCACCGCGCCCAAGGTGCTTGACATAGAAGTTCAAGTACAATGCGCCCTGCTCAGTGCGCCCATGGGCGACTTTGAGTTCTACGTCCCCTAAGTTTTAACCACTGCGGGTGCTCATCGCGCGCACCCTGAGCTTGGAAACGGAGGCCGTCGGTTCCCTACGCATCCACCCACGCACCCGTGATATGCAGCTCTTGGAAATCCGCCACCGTGCCCCCTGGCACGCTGAGGCGTGGTAGAATACCACATACGCTTTAAGATTCCAGCTCGCTCTCCCCCCCTCACCGAGCAAAGTGGGGCCTGCACCCCCTGCCGAGGCTCTCTGGGCGCTCTGATGCCTCCATGGGGTTGCCCAAGGTTTCGCACCAAGATGGTGTCCAAGACAGGCAGATCAGGCCACCAAGGCCGCCAAAATGGCCCAAGATGCGTCCAAGACGGTCTAAGATGGCTCCAAGACGGCCCAAGATCGCTTGAAGACGCCCCCCAAAGGAACCACATACGGGACAGAGGGCTCCAAGAGAGCCTCCAGGAGGGCCCGGAGTCATGCTTTTGAATGATTCAAGCGTTATCGTTTTTACTCGCTTCCGTCAGCTCAAAACGGCGTCAGAGGCCGCCATGATGCTTGCAAAGTGTTGAGAGAACCATAGGTTTTCCAACATGTTCACCAAATTCTGCCAAACGGGCCTGGCCCCCCCTGGCCCCCTGGCGTTGCGGCTGATCCCCCCCCAAGTGAGTGGCCTGCGTGCCGATGTCCAGCCGCACCTGGTAGGGCGCGCCGGGGTGCTCCGCTGGCCAGCAGCTCTCCCTGTACCAGAGCCCGATGACCACTCCCTCCTCACGGCCCGTGCGGGGGAGCGAAGGCGCGTCGGAGCAGGAGCCCGAGCTATCGGAGGGGGGGGGGGGGGGCAACGTTCTTAGATAGTGCCCTCCCCCCCTCCACCCCGCCTTCCTTCTCCCCCTTCATCCCATCCTCCTCCTGCTCCTCCTTCTCCTCCTCCTCCTCCTGCTCCTCCTCCTCCCCCTCCTCCTCCTGCTCCTCCTCCTCCTCCTCCTCCTCCTGCCCATCCTCCCTACCCTCCTACCCTCCTCCCCACTCCCCCTCCTCCCCACCTCCTTCTCTTTCTGAATAACTCCTCTCCGTCGCGCCCCGAGGCTGGTCGAGAGGGTGGGCCCGGCGTTTCGCCTGAAACTCCCGATCACCGGATGATGCTGAAACTTGAAATGGGCTATAGAACTTCACGGATGGAGGGCGGGCGGCTGGATCGCGCCGTAGCGCCACGCATACTCGTGCCAAATGTTCGCAAAGAACTTCATGGATTGAGGGCGGGTCCTTTTCAAACTGTGGCTTTCGCCTCAACGCCGTGCACACTCGCCCTGAACAATGGATAGAGCTTCACTGGATGTGGGCGGGAGGTTTTCAGAATGTGGCTCTCGCCTGAGCGCCGCGCACTTCCGTCTTTGCAAATTGTAAGAGCTTCACAGATTGAGGTCGGTTCCTTTTCAAACTGTACCACTTTCTCCTAAGGCCGTGCAAACTCGTTTTAAAGATTTGCAAGGGTTTCGCGGATTCCCATGGTTAACGTA